GTATGTATGTATGTATGTGACCCCTCCAGATGTTATGAGTTCAAGTTCAATTGTTCTCCCCTCGCAATTCTGTGCAATGTCAACGTGAGCGAAGCCCGTGAGCTGTGAGTTGTATGACCATGAAGAGTAAACAAAAAGGAAGAAGGGGAGGGATTCAAAGAAAGCAAAGACCATAGTTGACCGAAAGGGTCGAAAAACGTCGTCAATGGCTATAATTAAGCACAGCTACTCGCCGTCGCCCACACAGTTTCTCGTTTGTCGCGTTCTAATTGAAAACGTAACAATGCAGACAGCGAGGTGCTTCGTTAAAAACTGTGCGACTAGAAAATCAAACATGCTTAAGAACACAACCCTTGCTTTCAGGTAAGAGATCCTTTTTTTAATGGTTATATTCGTACAACATACAAAAACTCTTAAATCTCAAATGCTCAATTTTATGCTTTGAATGCATTAAATGCATAAGCTAAACAAACACTTCAAAGTGCCTATTCGATTTATTTATTTATTATTAGTTGTCCATTCACACTTGCACTATATATTTGTATATCTCAATACATATACATATGTATGTATGTATTCACACAGCACAAATTCTAAATAATGATACACCCGTTTCTAGCGTTTAAGTCCAGGGTCTAAAAACAAAAAACGCACAGATGATTTACATTGGCTTCGCACTGCTTTCCGTTGCGCCGCACAGTGTGGCAAGTGTTCAAGAACACCATACGAAAATGTTGACATGAAATGTAGGTGTATCTTACATAGAAAAATATAAGCGTGCAAAGCTCTGTAATAGCCAGAAGGAAGATTCTTTTTCCCCATAGGGTTTATATATGTATATATTCCTGTTCCCTTTTTAAAGCTACACTCAGAAAAAAATGTACTGCATTTTAGAAGATCGGCACCAATGGCCTATTATTCAGAAAGCATATTTCTAAAATAGAAGCTTGTGTCTGGCCAAGAACCAGAGTTTTTCTTTCCTTAATTCCATATTATGTTTAAAAAAAAAAAAGTCGAATTTTCAGGGTGTTATTGTTTAATGTGTGTACATAAAACTCTGTGCACAGAACATTAAATTTTAGCTTTTCTGTTGCTAATATTTATAAAGAATCATTGACATACATATTCCTTATATAGCTATAGATATTATTTAACTTATAACATACCAGTCGAGAGAGCAAATTTCATTATTATTTTTTTAATTTCAGAAAGAAAGTATCAATAAGAGCTTGGGTATATCAACCAACAAGGATAGCGATGGGGGTTGCCACACATGCTGATTGTTGAGTATGTTAAAGTCAGCTCGCTTCACGGTGCCCCGCTTGATAATCAGTTGGTGGGCCCGATAGGCAAAGGAATATGTATATATTGAAATTTCAGCAGCAACGGGAACCATAACGGTAACGGCAATGGCACTGGAAGTGTCACATGCAGCACCCAAAACGTGACTTGACCAACGCTTACGATGTTGACGTCGCCGTCATCTTCATCATCAGCCCCCCTCTATAACCTTATCATCATTATCACAATTATGGTAGTTAGAGAAGTTTTCATGCTGTGCGCAACAAATAGCACAAACCCACACTCACACACTCGCACACCCACACAGCCAAACTCACAAATTCGCACACATTCATTTTCTTATTTCTGTCATCGAACCGGAACCGGAATTGAAACCGTCAGTCGAAATTTCCAAAGTAAAATTCAAAGGCCAAATGTAAGATCCGGTAACTTTCTTAGTGAATATTATTTCTATACGCGGATAGCAATTATTTATTTATATAATCTGATATGTCCGTCGTGCTGTCTGCCAAAGCAAGAGCCTGGAATCTTGGAACATTACTGGTCTGTGCCCCCATCAGTCAATGTGTTGAAATTGGGTTGCTACGTCCACTCGAAGATTGTGTGGTGTTGGACTTGTGCTTCAAATATCAGCACATCCATTTTTAGACCACACCCATACCCCCCGCCCCCAGGATCTTCAATGAATTGTAAGCTAGAGTCACAAAATATGAAAAATCTATTACCTCGAGAGATCGATAATAAAATTGGATGATCGCGGCCATTCCGACTCCCAAAATCGATACACCTGATGGTGTTTAAAAGGTATATTGCTAGTAAAACCCTATTTGGATTATTAATCCTATTGATCAGGAAACCCCCATCTATTAGGTCTAAGAGATTACGAAAACTAGGGAATCAAATTTGGAACTTAAGTCGCAAATATCGAGCAATAAAATCCAAAATGTTGATCTACTTTTTGTCTTTCTATAATTTAAATATGTTTTTCACTGGCTCCAGTGTTAAATACTTTTTTGTGCCCTGTTTTTGTTTTTATTTTTTAATATTTTGTATATACAGTATGTACAGGTTCGGCTACGTTCAACACTTAATACGTCGCTTCGCTGCCTTTGACAATGCATTCCTCAAACAAGAACACACACAAAGCGAATTTACATACACTGAGAGTATTTACCATTTGCATTTGCTGGATGCAATTATAGCTGCTTCTTTGCTTTAGCGCTTCTTTCCATCTCCCACTCTTTGTCTCTCTCTCTCTCTCGCGCCTACCACCCTCTCTCTCTCTCTCTCTTTGTGTGTGTGTGTGTGTGTAGCAGTGGTTGCCCCAACGCCTGCAAGTATGCAGCAAAAAATATTTGGGTTACATCATCGCATCGTCCATTTGCAAATGTCACGAGTGCAGTCTGCTGGACTGTCTAGAAAGCGAGAGTACAAATCGCATCAGATATGGAACAACAGAACAGTAAATACCGTAAGCAATATTAGCTTGAATTCCTATGCAAAGTGGGACAAATGAGATAGACAGAGACAGTGAGAGATGATGGAATACTAAAAACTAGGCAAACTGGATTACACTTGAACGCTGAGCACCAGTAGAAAGAGCATCGAAGTTGAAAATGTTAAGCGGATGCAAGAAAACTCGCTCTAACCTAAAAGCTCGATGACTAAATGTCTTGAGTAAATGCAAGATAACTCGATTAAAGCTGATATATTGATTAACAGGATTAATGACTGATAGTATACTCGGTTTAGGCTACTGGCACGATGAGCAAAATTTAAATTGATCAACTTTAAATTGGAAGGGAAGAAAATTTGAATTGTTCTTTCTTAGTTTATACAATATATTATTGATTTATATTTATATTGAAGCTTACTGGCAGTTCTGCCGTGCTCCGCTCTCCTCAACCAGCTTATAACAGAATTATTTACTCGGAAATCGTTTATGGAAGACATTTGTTCCTTTTGAGAAATTATTTTACGAATTGTTGTTTTAGCTGAAGTTATTTGAAATTTATTATAAGCTATTTTCATGGCCCATACACTTGTTGCACAGCTAGAAAATATTTATGGCATTTTCCTTCGTTTTTCTTCCCGATATGTATACAAAAAGCCAATAAATAAAATATAGCCCCATAAACACACATGTCGATCATTCCACATGACAGTGAAATTCGCTCCTCGAAAGTTTATGTATGGTTGTATTTTCATACTCTGTACTCGTTAAAAATGTATAAGAATGGGTATAATGAAGGGCATACAGAATTTATTACCCAAAACATATTTGCATATTGAACAGAGAATGTTTGGTTAATTAAACAACTTTAATTGGGTCCAGTATTGTATACTGTGTGCTTTAGTAGCATTTATGAATACAGTCAGAAATGAAAATCGCTATAAATGTTGGAAAATGCCAAGGGTAACTCACCTTAATATTCAGAAGATATTTTTTTTAAACGTCAGCTTTTGTCTTTCTAGTAACCTTAATTACAGGGTAAAATTGTGTTACAATTTGGAAAAGTATTTCTGATTTTCTTATATGTGCACATATAGCCCTTACATTAAGTTTTGAGTTATTTATATCCTATTATTAATCATTACTATCATCATTTCAATTTTACTCACAAGTCTAATGTAAAAGATATAATCATTATGTCGAATTCGCAGGGTATTCAAGCAGTCGAGCCACATACATACGTATGTTTTTATGATATATTTATTATACTGGTATATTTATTTGCATTGTATATGATTATAATTTGCTCATGCAAACAACAAATTTAATTAGTTATATTTATATCTGATTTTTTTTTTTTTAATTAACATCAAATGAATGTATTTTATTCATATCGGATATTTTCAATTTCTGTATCAATTTATGATTTGGCACACTTAAAGAGTTTCCAGGTCTTTGATTGTTTGGATTTCAATTGCTATTTCATTGTTTTGTAAATGGGTCTCTTTCTGTGATGTAAGTGTGCGTGGGGGTGTGGGTGTTGGTGTGTGTGTGTGTGTGAATGTGAGTTACCGGTAACGGAAATTTGTTTGCAGTCTTATTTTGAAGCTCACAAGCAGAAACACAACAATATCAACAAAAACAACAGCAATAAATAAATAATAAACAAGCAGTAAAAATGATATTCCGCTGGCGTTTTGTTTTCGCCGCACACACACACACATACACACAGAGACACACACACACGCAGTCACACAGGCACGCAACACTCGCGCTTTGCCTGTTAGTTAAACGCCTGCAATTGCACTCGGCACACCCAACTAGGCACCCCAGCCACCCACCACCCATAAGCGCCGACGTTACGCCGAGCGAAACGAACGCCTTTCGCCTGGTCGTTCGTAACTCGTGATTCGTGTCTCGCCTTCGCTGTCGACGTCGCAGTCGGCGTCGCTTGTGGCGGCCGCTAAAAAGGATAAGTTGGCCAGATGCTTGCAAGATTCCATCATAACGGCTTCGGCATTCGTGGCGCGCGTCTCGCACGCGGCAGCAGCAGCAGCAGCAGAATAAGAACCAAAAAGCAAGAAACCAAAAACAAAAACATAAAAAAAAATTTAAAAGAAAAAAAAACGGCTAATCATAAATAGTTTTGAGAGATTTGCGCGCTCGCGTCGGCCTTAAAATTTGTATTTATTTTTTTTTTTGCTGTGCCTGCTGATTTGTTTTGTGTTTTTGTTGTTGTTGGCCGTTGTTTTGAGTTGCTGGAAAGCGTTTTCGAAAGGAACGCACTTGGATGTGTTGTCGCCAGCCAAGTGAGATGCGCTCAAATCTGAAACAATGTTATGGTTACTATATGTCAAGTACAAAACGGTAGAAAGACATAGCTCAGCAGTGAAATACGTTAAAGTATTTGCGGGTCATTCGAAAACAGCCGCATCTGCTAAGAAGCACCCAAAAACATTTAAATTCAAAAAATTTTCAAAATAAAAAAAAAACCTAAACTGCAGGTGAGAGCGAAATACAATGTGATAAACGCTTAAGTTAAAAATAACATTTTGGAAGAAAAATAAACTGAAGAAACTGTGTGCCTAGGCAAAAGTCAACTATTTCATTTATTTATTTATACGAGTGTAAACAATTTATATGAATTCTTTCTTTTTTTGGCTGGTTGGTTGGATGTTGGCTAGTTCAATATACAATATGTTTAAAATGAAATTGATTTTGCGTAGGCATTCAATAATTTGAAGGTTTATCTATACTCTTTTGATGTGCTATGTATTTGTTAGATTTGATTTTAACATTTTCCCAAATTGAATGTCACGCTATATTTTAGCTTATACGTAAATTAGGGTTTAGTCCTAAATATTATGGACATTGACCTTTAATTTGGTTATATTTATTTTATTCGTTCAAGTTTCGAATGAAAGTTTTGATTAAACGTAAACATTTTGACCGCTTGTCCCAATTAGGTATTTCTGAGTATCATTCAAATGTCACAAATGTGACCTAAATGTTCCCAAGCCCATTAATTAATAATTTCACTTCAAAGAGTTTATAACTTGGCTATTGACATATTATTAAACATGCTGCGCAAACGGCTTTCAATTTATTTCTATCTGTGTCGGCACAGTGTGCGAAACTGGGCGTGTAAGTAAATAAATGTATATTAGACTGCTTCCATTGTTTAATAATTACATTTTTAGTTTTCCGTTAGCCTCTGCTTGGACCGTACTCATATGCGATGTCCAGCGGGGCGTATGCGCAATATTGCAAATATTTACGTGTCGTAAGTTTGCCAAAAATTTCATATTTTTAATATGCTTTCTACACGGCCCCAACTCCTTGTCAGTGTGTGTGTGTGTGTGTGTGTGTGTGTGTGTGTGTGTGTGTGTGTGTGTGTGTGTGTTTGTAAACAACATTTGACCAACAATGAAATTTTTGCGGCTGCTCTTGCTCAAATTCTTCTCCCACTCCCAAAATATGTACAATGTGCAGCAAGAAAAAGAATTGTTACACTTTTAGACTGCCACTGCAAATAGGCACTCGCCGGAGGTGCAGGGGTAGCTGTGGACTATGGCTTGTTCACAAGGACGCTGGCGTGCAATGGACTGGCCGAAAGACAAACTTCGTGTTGACAAAAGTTGTAACATGTGCTAAACTGACGGCATGAAAATGTCATTTGCTGTATTGTGTATGGGTGTGTGTATGTGTGTGTGTGTCTGTGTGTGTGTCTGTGTGTGTGTGGGCGTGTATGTTGCTCGTTAGCGTTGCGGCAAAAGTATTGCAAGTGGTGACAAGTGTTTTTGTGCTACCAGCAAGCGAGCACCTTAAGGCGAGCTTGTGCCAAAGTGTTAGTTTGAAGATCAACTCCAGAAAGACGTGTCCCTGCCCCCGTTCACGCCCTAATGAACTGTAAGGTGGCAACATGGTGCGACCAGTTGACTTTTTCGACTAGCACACACGCACACACACATGCATACAAACAAACACAACATACATACACACGCACACACACACACACACCACAGATAGAGAAGAGATAATTTGGCAGTATTCTTAATACACCGAATGAGCACACAATGGGTCACAAAGCTAATGCGGGTGCGGCTGAAAAGTCCATTGCGCTGGTGAAAATCCTTTAGCACGTTTTTCTCACGATTTCTCACCTCTTACGCACACACACACACACACACAAACACACGCTCGACATTTTTAAGAGCTTGCCATTAAGGGAATGCTGTTGCGTGAAGCCGTTACGACAGCTAAGCGTTTGTATATCTCTCTTTGTGGGTTTCTGTGTGTGTGTGTCTGTGTGTGTGTGTGTCTGTGTGTGTGTCTGTGTGTGTGTGGGTGGACCTCAGCATTTAGCTTAAGCTTGCTGCAAACACAGCAGATGAAATAAAACCGAAAGCATAAAACAAAACAAAAAAAATACACCAATCATCTTCGGCTTGACGAAGTTTTAATGCCCTAGAGAGGTATACAATAAATCTTAAGACTTAAATTTTAAGTTCAGCTTTATGTTTTCATATAAACACTCAACTGCCATCAATTATTTGTAATCTGTTAGGTCAAAAGTCATTCAATTAATAAAAACCAATCAAATTAGTTGAAAGGCAAACAATTTCTTAGCAATCAGTCTGTGATTTGATAGATTTTGCCTTGCTTTTATTTCTTTAATAAATACAACAAAAATATTTGAAATTAATAAAGCAGCTTATGTACAAGTGTCTTCATCAATGCGTCGCAGAGTTCATAGTAAATGTGTAATATCCTCTCGCAGCGCATTCAAATTTACATATGAACTTGAGTTACCGCTTGCCGTTTTCAGACTGACGCGTCGTATGCGTAACCTGCAAAAAAAATAAAGAAAATGAATTTCAATTTAGTTACAGCGATTGCCTACGCAATTCAATTGTGTAAAATAAAAAAGGGAAATATACCTATGTAAATAGAAACCAAGTTTCGGATCAATTTCCAGACTCCAAATAAATAATAATAAATATAAAATGGAAAGACACTAGACAAGATGATGCACACCAAATGATGCAATGCCAAATTCAGTTTAAACGATGTGTCGTGTCAGTATCCATGTCAAAATTATAGCAAAACTTCACACTTAATGAGTTTAAAAATGTAAATGTAAGTCTCGGTCTATATATATATGTGTATAGAAATGTATATTTTCAATGCTAATAGAAAAGACTACGTGTTAAAATTGAGGTGCTACATTGACTAGAGCGATAAATCGATAGAACCACATATATCCCCAAATTTGGTTATTAGATTGCTGGCGATCTGTTTACGTTTAATAATAATAATCAGAATATTAATAATAATAATAATATAAAATATAATAATTAGAAAAAATGTAAAGGATTTCAATGCAGGAAAAGAAAATATTTTTACTTGATATAAACGTATTAAATTTTCTAAGTGATAACAGACAAAAGTAATATTAATGTACTTTCCTAATGGCAAAATGGTAAAGACATAATATGCAGATAATGGGTCAATGAATACAGCGAATGAACTCAAGCAGAACGCAATTATTGATATGACAACCACAATTTTAAAATTTAAAAGGCTGGAAAAATAACCAATTATAAATCTAATTATGTTGCTTGTCAAAGCTAAATGCGCATATAACTAAATACATATACAAATATATACACATATTTATGTATATGATCGGCAATGAATAATAACATAATAAATCATCAATTGGCAAGGCTAATCAGCTTAATTTGCTGTTTCACATTTCGATTTGATGTTCCTCTTATTGATGTTGGTTCAGAGCGAAAATATGTTCATAATTGAAGAATTTTAGTTTATTTTTAATGATTTTCTTTTTGCTGAACCGTACTAAGTCTCATTGGGATTTGTTAACGATTCGAAGTTTTCACGCTCATCGCAGTTAAATTTTATTTTATTGGCTTCAAATAGACATGATCCAAGATTCGTCTTTAACTTCAACTTATTCTGCCTAATGTGGCACCTTATGTGGCATCACAGCTCAAGTACTCTAATCTCACTCTCAATTTAAATCGAGTTGATTTCAACTTAATATACTGTCGATTTCTGTATAAATATCTCTGTAACTGTCTACATATACATTTTAAATGTCAACGTTGCCAAACAAATTAAATTCTATTCTAAATGTGTGTGTGTGCGTGAGTGTCTGTGTCTGCTGTATTCCGATACGTTTAATTTTATAAGGTACAGTGATGAATCGAGGATAAATAAAATACACTCATATGTTATTTTATTACATATGAATAACTTTTGATAAATAAATAAATAAAAAAAAGTGAATGTGTATCTCTCGCTTTTGAATGAAAATTTCATTTTACTATCCTATACTATATATATATATGCAAATAAATAAAAAATACATTTATGCATATCATGGGGAAGCGTTACGCAATTCCCCTAGCTGTTTAAATAAGCATGACGGCAGTTAAGAGTTGTATTTGCACGACTGGCAGATACCCAGTAAAACAAATATTTTGTTCATGCTATCATAATCAGTGTCGCAAACCGCATGGTATTTCGGTCTAGGGTCCGGTCACAAATGGGTTCCAATATTTTTCGGTATTCCGTTCCGTTATGGGACTATAGAACTAATGAAATCGGTTCTGAATTTCAATCGGCAAAGCTGCTATTTCCTTTTCCGTTTGACGTCCTGATTAAAATACATTTGCAGCAAGAGCAAGTTTAATGTTCTCTTAAAAAATTCTTTATTCAAGTAGCAACTGATGAAACCGTGTTTATGCACTTGTCCGGGGCGACTACCCGACATGTTTGGAACTATAATTCAATTATGCATATGCCGGTTTTTTTTTCATTTCTTTGTCTGTTGTTGGGTTCATTGTTTATTAACAATCGCAGATGAATGAAAATAAATAAATCCGAGAGAAACTTGCTTACGTCAGTCAAAATGTTTGACGGCTGTTTTTCGTACTGTCGAATGATGATGGTCATCATATGATCTTCATAATTATGTTGATAATCACTATCCGCACTTTGAACAGTTTTGCTACACCCAACAGCAAAGATCTGCAAGGCAACGAATCAAATATTGAACAGCAAAATGGAAAATGCAATAAACCAAATTACGCGTGTGATGAACTTGTGAATACCCTGTGTAGACTTTTAATGTAAAACCATTATGTTAAGCTGAGAGACTAGTTTTGTTTACTCTTTGTGTTTAGTTGATTATGATTTGTTGCTCTCTGCTTTTATTTAAATTCTATCTAAAATTAGCGAATGTCTATATACAAAGACAGCATTTACTAATTAACTAATTATTATCAAAATTAATTTTTCCATCGGAATAACTTTGAACTCTTCTCTTTTGTCTTATGTGTTGACTGCTTTCAAATACATTTTCCTTATCTCGGCAATTAGTTCAACAAATTACATTTCCAAAGCGCAAAAACTGTTTGCACTTGTTGTTGTTGTTGTTGTTGTATTTGCAAACTCTTAGACCAAAACGGCTTAGTGC